TACTTATTTACTTATTTACTTATTTACTTATTTACTTATTTACTTATTTACTTATTTACTTATTTACTTATTTACTTACAATTACCTCCCACAGACCCATTAGATCGCACAGGGTCGGCCTCTCCGGGTTCCGTCCACCAGCCAATGCCATCTGGCTACTACCCGGGGGAGGGCCTTCTCTGTAGCAGCTCCGGCCCTTTGGAATGAACTCCCCACGGAGATTCGGACCCTCACCTCTCTCCAGGCCTTCCGAAAAGCCGTCAAAACCTGGCTCTGCCGGCAGGCCTGGGGGTGATGAGTTCCCTCCCCTCTCGACTTGTATGACTGTGTGATTCTTGTGTATTTTAATTACGTGTATTGTGTTTTATGTCCTGAGTCCCTCCCGGAGAAGGGCGGCATACAAATAAACTAAATCAAATCAAATCAAATCATTTCCTCCCCCAAGCGATAACTCTGGACTTCCTCGTTTTTCTTTGAAGACGTTTCGCTTCTCATCCCAAGAAGCTTCTTCGGCTCTGACTCCCATTCGCCATCATTCTGCCAGAGCCAAAGAAGCTCCTTGGGATGAGAAGGGAAATCTCTGAAGGAAAAAAACGAAAGAAAGTCCAGTTGCCTCTTGAGGGGGAAAAAGTATATTTGGGACAACCTTAAAAAATTAAATTGAATGGTTTTATTGTCCCCGCAGCGAGTTGGCCGTAGTGAGTTCTCCCATTCTGGATTTTTTTTTTGGGGAGGGGGGGGGGGGCCTCCTGCCTGCCAGGAGCCAAACCACCACCGCAGTGGTGGGATTCAGCCGGTTCGCCCCGGTCCGTGAGAACCGGTTGTTAACTTTCTCAGCAGTTTGGTGAACCGGTTGTTGGAAGAAATCACGAGGGGCAGAGAACCGGTTGTTAAATTATTTGAATCCCACCACTGCACCGCTGCCTCCCTCCCCCCCCCTGGCCCGGAAATTTCCCATGGTCCCAGCTGGAAAGCCAAGGACGGGGGGGAGGGGGGTGTCTCTGCTCACCTGGGCCACCTCGTCTCGCGAATTCCACTTGACGGACAGCAACAACTTGGGCAGGGTCTCGGGGAGGTTGACGCAGTAGTGCCTGGAAAGAGAGGAGGGGGCAGCTGAAGGCGAGGACGGGACGTGGGGGTGTGGGTGGCAGCCACGGCTGCTATTGAAGCCCACTCGGTGCCTGGAACCCACCGGTGGCGCCAAAGGAAGTCCTTCTCCTGCTCTGTGATCTCCGACAGCGGGTCTCGGTTGCAAATGTTACGCATCTGCTCCAATTCGCTTTCGTCCAGAGAGCTGTCGCGGGCCAGACGGTTGCTCTGGAATTGGGGGTGGGGGGGAGGGAGAAAGAGAAGTCAGCCCCCCTCCTCTTTACGGATCACAGCAAGACGGAACCCGCTAGAACAGAGTTTGGCGATTTTCAGGTAGGGGACTTCAACTCCCAGAATTCCCCAGCCAGCAGCTTTACTGCCACCTCTGTCCTGGCATTCAATCGGGATAGAGCTGGAAGGGACCTTGGAGGTCTTCTAGTCCAGCCCACGTCCCGAGAGAGCCTATACCGTTTCAGACAAGTCTCTTCTTAAAAGCCTCCAGTGATTGGAGCACTCAACATTTCTGGTGGAAGGCTGTTCCCCTGGCTAGTTATCCTCCCTGTTAGGAAGCTTCTCCTTAATTCCAGGTGGCTTCTCTCCTTGGTTAGTTTCCCTCCGTTGTTTTTTGTCCTGGTGCTTTGGAGAACAGGTGGGACCGCCTCCTTCTTTGGGGCAGCCCCACAAATATTGGGATATCGTGTCTTTTTCTCTAGAGAGGCGGTTTTTCTTGTGTTTTGGTCTCCTTTAGGCCTTCGACCCCCTTCGCTGCTCTTCTCTGCCCTCTTCCCAAAGTCTCAAACCTCTTTCGGCCCGCGCCCCCCCCCCTTACCAAGCCCACCATGCAGTAGTTCAGACCCAGCTCCCGCGACATGGCCCAGTTGGCGTGCTCCTCGATTTCGGCCGCGTCGGCAAATTTAACCGGGTGGCTGTACCAGGTGAACTCCAGTTCTAGGCACGGGGTCTCCTGTAGCAGCAGCAGCAAAGCGAGAGGTCAAAGACCCCCCTCCTCCCGAAATCCAGCGACCCCGTTACGCCCCCCACTTAATACGCAAACACCCCCACACACCCCGGCCAGCCTCGCCAGGAAGCCAGGCCCCTTGCGGGAGTCTCACCTTGTTGGGGTTGGAGCCCCCGACCCCGATGGGGTTCAACAAGTCCTCCAGGCCATGGGGGACCGGCCACAAGTTGAGTGCCATCTTCCCGGCCACCAGAGTGTCCTTGTAGTCGAAAAGGTTGACGTTGCCCCAGGCCAGGGGGCAGTGCTCCTGCGGGGGGAGAGGAGGGGGGGAGAGGGGTCAAAAGCATCTGCTGGTGGCCCCCAACCAGACTCTGCCCACCGCAGAAGCAAGGTGCCTTTCTC